GCTCGACTCTCGTGTTTGTTTTGATTGTATTTACCCAGAATTCCCTGCACTGTAAGTCCACTTCCTGCTTTTGGAGCGGTTTCTGGTCCGCTTGGCGTTCTCACATGCATTCAAACTGCACCAGAGTTCACTTTAACTGAACCCAGACCAGTATATTTTTTATCGTAAATCGTCTTTATAATGGTCAAAGAGACATGAACATTTTGTATGTTTTTAAATTAACCAACTCAGTCGCACATTCCTTTGGACTGTTGTACCTTACATGGTAGTTTTGTTGAAATCTTGCCCTTACTACACAGTCTTTTTATTCCTTATTTTGTTTTTACATATTTTATATTCTTTGTGATTGTTTTTGCTTTGATTGCCTGTCACTTTGTTGCTGTTGCACTGAAAAGTCCCCATTGTAGGACAATAAAGGATTTTTCTATTTTATCTGTTAAACCACCACCTGCAGCTTGAAAAGGGGAAGGACAGATTAACGTTTTCAGCAAAAGACGACTGGTGAATTAGCTTTCATGTGTAAATAAAATCTTAAAATATATGGACACCAAAACAAAATCAGTAGTTATAAATTATACATGGTCTTGAGTGTATTTTGGCCAAAAAGCCAAAAATAAAACTATTTGTTTTTCACCTCAAACGTGTTCCTTTGTTTAGGTTTTAACACAGTGTAAGTTCTTTTAAATGATCTTTTCAAAGAGCTGGATTTAAAACTTGTCTATCATCCACTTGTGTTCTTCATGTTTGCCCAGAGCGATGTTTGCTTCGCTTACTTTAGGGGACAACTGTTCAGCAATTTCCACTTCCATGCTCTTGTGTTGGCACAGTCGTCAGCGGTTCAGCCTTGCTTGGCACCGAGAAACCACCATGGGGAGGCTCTCGGTGCCGCTGCCAGAATCTGACACTTCCAGGCAATCCACTACTTTGTCAAGTGATATGAAGAGCTGCTCGTCAAAAAATGGAAAACTGAAACGTCCAACAGAATCCATGTCTGTGAAGAAGAGGAGGATGAATCCAGGTGGAGTTACATCACTACAGATTCAAGAACATCAGTCTTAAAGTGTTGTAAAAAACTGACTAGATTGCATGTTATAAAAAAAACAGAGACTCTTAATAGTGGGTTTTAAAGTACTTTGTACCGAGGAAACTGAGATTTGTTCATTTCAAACACCATTTTGTTATCTTTTAGAGAATATCAAGTATATCAATATATTTATACAGTATTTTTCTAAAAGAAGCTACAAGTGAACAGTAAATCTGTTTTAGAAAAATACATTTTATGTCCTCTCCCATTCACGGAAAAGTGAAGAATCTGTAACTCAACAAAAGACTTGTCTTTTCCAGCAGCCATTGTACAGTAAAACCAGCGCAGGGCAGAATAGCCAAAACTTGGACTCAAGTGAGAGAAGCAGAACTTTAACATATTTTTAATCAAATAAAAGTAAAAAGTAGCCATCCGGGAAATTACTGAAGAGTAAAAAAGTATTTGGTAAAAAATCGACTCAAGTACTGAGTAACTGGTTGTTAATATAGTCAGACCAAATTATAAAGTTAAGTGGAAATGTGGGAATTTTAAGGACAAAAATGACAATAATTCATGTAAGTAATAAAAAATAAAATCAGGCAAAAGACATTTCAGTTTCTTTCAACAAAAGAACTTATTACATTTTAACAAACTTTTGGTTAAAACATATTTGTTCTTCATTCAGTTAATTTACTCAGCAGGTACAGAATCCTGAAAATTTTACTCAAGACTAGCGATATTTCAAAGCAAAATTAAGTAAAAGAAAAGGTACAGCGCAGTAAAACTACTCCTAAAAGTAGATTTACCTGAGTAAATGTAACTCGTTACTACCCAAGTTTGAGTAAAATCAGCAAAAAAACAGCTGACCAAACAGGCTGGAGCTCTGATTGGGTTGCTAGGTAACGGGCTGGGCTTTGCTGGGGTTGCTAGGTAACGGCGCAGTGCTGCTCATTCCGGAAGTTTCTGACACGGGTCATTTTCAAGACACCAAAAAATAGTAACTTCAAGCGTTTTGGCTGTTTTCAGGAGCAGTAAAAACACAAACTGAAGTATACATATACTTACACGTTCACATAAATAAAAAACGTGTATAATGTCCTCTTTTAATTAAAATTACAAAACAACTGTGCCTAATACAACTCAACAGTAAGTGGCAGATTTAACCAATTAGTAACACACTAACCAAGATGTATCTAACATGGCACTTGGGAGCGGGTGGAAACGTGAGAGCATCGTGACCCAAAGGTCACAGAAAGTGTGGTCAGTGACCCGGAGTGGGAGGCAGGCAGCGACCAGACTGTGGCGATCATGTTGTGCCGACAAACATTTGGATTAAATTTAAGACCTTGCTTTGGTTTGAGGTTTAGCAATGGGTCAGGCCAGCATCTGAAGGTTAGGCCCATTTTTAAAGAAAATTAAAGTAAGTCGGAGCGTTATGAGGTGATGCAGCCTTTATGTTTGACAGAACTTTCATTAGAGGAAACCTGAAATAACAGACGTTGGGGATTGTGTTTGCAAACTGGAATGTAAGGGAGTGTATGTGACGGAGATATGTCAGGCTGAAAGTTTTAAGATAGCGCAAAGTGTGAGAGAACGAGCGTCTGTGTTTGTTAGATAAGACTTTTACAGAGCTTGCTGCAACTGGTCCGAGGGTTTTTCAGCAGAACTGCAGCAGGAGGTCAAAGAGCGGCGAGGTCGCGTCCGCTGACTCCCTAGAACCCGAGCAGTTAATTATTGAACTCATAGACACATTGCAGTATGATGTCTTGCCCTCCCAATATCCCTGCTGGAAGGCAAAAAAGCTGCTAGCTGACAATGACTACCATTGGCTTTAGCTGTTGTCAACATAATGCGCTAAATCTTAAATCCATGCGTGGTATAAAAGACAAAGGGATGCAGTGCCTTGCTACTAACTGTAAACACTACAACAACTACATGAGATCAGGAAAAAAGTTTTAATAAAAAAAAAAAAGCGAGGGAGTAGGAGGAAGGTTAGCTATGCTAGCTTGACTTTGACAACCTTAACATGTAGATGTGCTGCAGAATTCGGTTCGTTTCGGTCTAGTTAAAAAATGGAGACATCTGAATTTATTAGCTACGATATAAATAGCCAATCTACCACAGCAATCTCTTATAAATAATGGCATTAATAATCACTAAATAAACATTAAACCTGAAAACAAAACAGTAATCCAATGAATGTGCTGTTCTTCATGTGGGAAATGTTTGAGTCTTTTTTTGTTTTGAATCCTGATATGTTATTGCCGTTGTTGTCGGTTTCTATGACAATGAGCAGCCGAAGAACACGAGTGGTTTTGAGTTTTTGTCAACTTTTTTTCTGCATTATTATTTCCCTGGCTGTTGCACACTGCACTAAATTAATAACACCTACATCTCCGGTTTTCATTTAATTAACGTTGTTCTATCATGGGATAGACAAATAAAAGTCATGTTTTTGCCCTCCAGCATGGCACATTAAAACATATTTGTTTTTCATTCAGTGAATTTACTCACAGAGGGGCGAGAATCCAGAAATTTTACTCAAGTAAGGGTAGCAATACTTCATGATGAAATTACTTAAGTAAAAGTAATCAGTACAGTTTAGTAAAACTACTCCTAAAAGTAAATTTTTTCAAAAGGTTTTTTGAGTAAACGTAACTAGCTATGACCCAAGTCGACCAACATGCTGGAGCTCTGATTGGGTTGCTAGGTAACGGGCTGGGCTTTGCTGGGGTTGCTAGGTAACAGCGCAGGGCCTGCTCATTCCGGAAGTTTCTGCCAACAGGTCATTTTCAAGACACCAAAAAACAGCAACTTTAAGCACTTTGGCTGTTTTCCAGAAGCAGTAGAAATACAAAGTATTAAAAATTTTTTTTTTAAAAAGCAGGCAAAATGTTCATGCGCGAAATTTCAGGATGTAAACAATAACATTCTGGCAATTTTACAGCTTAAAACAAAGTTGTTTTGATCTTTTTAATTCTCTTTTGCGCCTCCTATATGACCCAGATAAAGACAAAGTGAATATATAGCCGTTTAAAGACGAGCTGTGATTCGGTATAAGAAGCTGGAGGTTCGCTGAAGCCATTGTGTCGGTAGCAGAAAGCCAAACGGCATACGTGCTGCAACATCAGAGCAGGCTGGCAGCATGTGAACACGCAGCCTTCTTTGTGGGATTTCTTGTGTCTGATAATGTGGATCAAAGATTGGATGCTAGCTAAGCTGCTTACGTGCCAACCATTGTATTAACATAATCTGCTTTTTCATTTGCAGTGGCACGGGAGCGGAGGAAAAGAGCAACAAAGAAGAGGAAGACTTTATTTTTTTACACCTTCACTTGAAAACTTGTTGTTTGAGATCCTGAGAAGTATTTTTTTGTATTTTTTTTTAATAAACTTAGAGGATTAAGAGGTAATTGTGAAAGTGACACAAATGTGTTTGTGGGTTTTGCATTTTTTGGGCATGTTTATAGTAAACTGAAGAAGAAACAAGCAGATTTCATAAGTTTGAATGGTTTTAGCAGTAAATACCTAACACTTGTGAGCTTTCGCTAGTGTTTATTTTTTTTATTCGATCAATAATGGCAAAACAAGTTTATTGATCTTGCCATTACCACTATAATACTTGAAAATGTGCTCAAAACAACAGTTTTATTGTTTGTTGCATCAATTTCTGGGACAATTTTGTGTTATTGTAACAAGCTGAGATATAACGTAAACTAAAAACTAATAGATTGGTCTGTCTATTTTCAAGTCATATATTGATAATGGTGTAATAATGCAAGAACACATTTCAAAGATCTATAAACTTTAAATTCCAATGTACATTTTACACTGGAACTGGAAGACATTTTAAATACAAAATAAACAAATAGTAGGGTTAGTTGAGACCAAAAAGCCAGACTGAAGACTTTTATCATCCAGTTTTTGGTCGAAACAGAGAGAAAAGAGAAAACAATAAATAATCCAAATGGAAATTATTGAGTTCATGCGATTAAATGATAAATTCATTTATTACTTGTTACAACAGGAATAGAAATAAAGTGGTGTATAGTGATTCAACATGCATCTGATCATCCTGCATAGTTATTTCACATCAGTTTTAATTAGAAGTAGAAAATGTAGAGTTTAAAATACCAACTGTGCATCAGCTTCTGTTCTTATAACTCGTTAAAACCAAATTTAACTGGTGCCATCAACCAAAATGGCACCATTTGCAACACTGATGTGGGTATAAGTCAAAATGCTACACCAGAGTAATCAGCATATCCCAGTGTAACACTCCCATTACCAGTAACCCCAGTGAGCGTTGTGCATCACCAGCCCCACCATCACTGTATTTACATTAGCTAAAACAAATGACTCCAATCCACAGTTCCTAAATCACAGAGAGCAGCCTGACAACATGTTAAATTTTCCAGCTGTCTCGCCTCATTTTTATTCTGTGTGTAACGTCCAGAGTCACGGAGCAGCGCACGGTTCGGAGAGGAAGAGTGCAGAGGCCAGCGACAGTTTAAAGCCCCATGCATCTTTCCTGTCTGCTGGTTACCCAGTCGATGGTTCACTGGGCCGTGAAGGAGCCGATTTGTTGTCCGCCCCGAGACGGGATCCCGACTCAGAAAGCCGCCAAGCTCCAAGAAATAAAACATGATCCATCTTAACAAGTAATTTAGTACAGTACAGGCCAGGTTTGTCGTGAAAAGAAGGAGGAAAATGCATATCGGGGTATTTAAAGCTTTCAGGGTTAAAAGAGGAACAAGAAAAATGCTTGATTTCCAACCTTTTTTTGGAGGTTTGACATCTACGGTATGCAGTTACCATTCGGATTGCTTGAAGACTGTCTTTGTTTATAACTACTATTAAAAAGGGATTATAGGATTTAGGGCTTTGCAGTTTTTTATGGCTGCTACATACAGCTGGAAAGACACCAGAACTCAGAAATGTGACAAGAACATTGCCAAAAAAATACCTGAGCAAAGATTTTGCACATTGAAAGCTACTAATTTGTTTTTAAATATGTACTATATTGTATATATATTTACATTAAAAACACAAAGCAAGTTGGTCATGTGCATCTGCACAGATTTTGTCAACAAAACGCTGAAATTAAATTCAGTTTTTGATTTGCTCTTTTAGCCGATGGCAATTAGCAAAAATGTGATTAAAAACAAATATTGTCTTTCAGAAAGAAGAATTAAACCTTTAAGAGAAAATGTAATGTTCTGTCCTTTGTAGAGATTAAAAAATACCAGATGGATAAATGCTAAAAGGGTTAAAATGATGGAAACAGACAAGGTGATGCATCTTTGACAACAAGATATTAAACCATAAAAACATAAAAAGCCAGAGATATTTAAGAAACCATAAGCTGAGAACTTTCATAAATGTCAGTTTCAAACTAAATATTTAGCTAGCAAGACAAATATTTAGTTTTAAACTAAATATATGCATATTTAGTTTGCACTAGTTAAATTTTAGTTAGTTCTGTGCTTTTATTTTGGTAGTCTACTTCCACTTTTTGGCAAGTCAATTTGCATATTATCTAAATATTTCATTTGAAGCTAAATACTCAGCTAACTATTTAGCTAACTACATATTATGCTTGCTATTTAGTTTGAAGGTAAATATTTAGCTGCAAATTAAATAGTAAGCTTGCCAACTAAGTAGCTAAGTAGCTTGCCAACTACTTAGCTTGCGAAAGTAGTTGGCAACTGTGCTATTCATAAATGAATACATGGTGAAAATATGATGCTGAAACATGTTTTTTCTTCGCTTATGACTAGTTATAAAACTCAAACTGTTGGAGTTAATGTTTGACTGTGTAACTTTGCAATCAACATTTGTGTGCCGTGTAAGAGAAATTAGAGTTACAGAAATAAACATTTTAATGGTATCCTCATCTACCAGGCTGCAGCTCTGCAAACCGATGGATGGATGGACAATTCTGGAGCAGAATGCACATTTTTCAGGAAGCTGTAATAACCCCAAACACTGAAAGCGAATCATTATATCGGCTGATATTTAGCCTCTAACCACTTTCACTATGAACCCGTCCATGCGCCCAGTCAAAGCCCACTGATGTGGAAACAGAAACGCAGCTGATGCTCTGTGGTGTCATCTCTTCTGCTGGAAAAACGGCAGAATGACTCATTCAGAAAGTAGTGAGTCTCTCAGCAGAGACACTGTCACTGCAGCGCATTGATTACTCGCTCAGACCAGACGACAGTTTACAGGCCAATCAATGCTTTGTGTAAATTTTAGTCAAATGAATGAAGGCAGCTGCTTTTTCTGTCACTCTGGGAGTTTAGGGAGTCCATCCACACTCTAACACACCAATCTATGACCTCTTGCAACATGTGAAACAGGTCAGCTTTGCATTAAAAGAACCACAAGGACATCAAACCCTGAACTGTGTCAACTCAGCAGCTCTGCAGAACTCATTAATCTGGAGCTGAAACTGCAAATTCCTGCATTAACTCCTGAAATCGTGGCTCCGGCTCCAACAGGTGCCGAACAGGCTTCGCCGTTTTGTGCGTCAGCCTCGTCAGGATTTGATTTATGAACTGGAAACGAGTCCCGAGCAGATTTTTTAATTCCCCGCAGAGAAATTAAACCTCCTAACGAGATGACTTTCCTCAGACTCACTGTTCTCTCGGTCTGATTTACAGTTTATAAAGAAATATTTCTATGTAACAGGTGTCCTTGCAGCTTGAACAATGGTTGCCTAGCAATGCTGATTAAATAGAAAATCTGCTGTAGGCAAGGTGAGTACTCGTCTGTGCTGTGGTGGTATGACACGACTCAGTTTGTGTTTAAATTGCTCCTCTCAATGGTTTCTTCTCCACAGTGATGGCTTGTAACGCACATTAACAACATTCAAATGTGATTTCATCGAAACAATGTCACATTAACAACAAGTTGGAACGTTTTTATGACAGATTAAAAACAAAACAAGATTAGGTTCTAATTTCACAGTTTTGGGGATAAAACAAAAACACTCGATCATTCTGATGATTTATAGTTAAACGCTGAAACCTTTTTTATATAAAAGATCCACATTAGCTCTACATATTTGAGCAAATTAAGTGTTTTATTAAAGAAATTCATCTTTTACTGTGCCAGTAATGCCAGAATTAATAATTAGTAATAAAGATTTTAGTTGTGTTATCACCCCCACACCACTAGAGGCAGTAGGAGACCAAAAAAGATGCAACTACAGACCAGATTTAGAAGGACATAGAAAGCTACAGAATTTATGACAAGCTGCGAGCTTTGCTGAAGTAGAAGAGAGAAGTTCAAATCTGAGAGTGAACTTCCTCCCAAAAGGTGACAATATCACAGATCTCACAAGAAAATAAAAACGGAAGACAGCAGATAATAAAGGAAAAAGCTCCCTCTTCCTTTCTGGAGTGGAAATGTCCCATATAGTTTTAGCAATGGCAGCGGAGGGAAGACGTTCAGTCCGTGTTGGCCACACCTCTAAATACTGAATAAACATTAACAGCCGTCGGGTTCGGATCGGCACTTCTCTCTTAGCAGCGGGGGATGGTTGTTTACAGAGCACGTAATTTCCGGTAAGCTTCATAGCGTCTAACTGGTAGCTTAGTGCTGGTGCATTACATACGTCACGGGCTAACGTTAGGGTAAAATTTCAAACCTAATAGAAGAGTCTCCAGTAAGCCAAATTACTCAAAACACCTAAAACAGATTTCTTTCGATGCAGAGAACCATTAAAACTACACACCAAGATACCCCATGAAGTTACTAGTTAGATAAAACATGAGATAATTTCACCAACTAGCTTAATAACCAAAGTAAACACACATTTCGAGCAGAAAAAAATTATAATGTAAATTATACTTGCATTATAAGAGTAGCGGATGGCATTTCCTGCTCCGTTGAAGCTGATTCAGGACACTGAGCCACACCGAAGCACAGAAAGTAACTCGCTAAGCTACGAGCGAGTGGAACTACAAAACAAACGGGTGCATCATGGGTAACGTAGTGCAAAATGAGGAGAGGACATTTAACAACGGTTAAATGGCGTTGCAACAAAAATGGAGTAGCGTCAGATTTTAGCGGTTGTAGGATTTTTTTCTTTATTTGGTAAAAAACATAAAAACTAAGAGATATTTCTCCCGCAAGCGCCCCAAATATAAAATTTTGAGCTTGTTTGTTTTGATTGCATTTACCCAGAATTCCTTGCGCATTCGATGGCTTCTTCCTTTTGTAACGACCTTCGGTCTGTTTCGCGTTCACATAAACCAAGAGCTTTACAAGCAGACTGAAGATGATCTTTGGTACAGGTTTATAGATATTTAGAATACAAACAGAAACAGTATTTACCAAAGTCAAATAGTGTCAAAATTAAACTACATGTACAGACAGGAAGGGAAGAACTCCAGAATAAAAGCAACTAAATATAAAGAGACCTAATTTCTAACAGCAACAGAGTTGTTGATTAGCAGTAAAGCCCATTTTTAGTGATTATAGGTGTGACTAAATTGAAAACAAAAGACTGCAGATCAATGTTTGAACAGGAAATGTTTAGATTTACGTGTGTGTGTGTGTGTGTGTGTGTGTGTGTGTGTGTGTTTTAGGATGCCCTGGGCACTGCTGTTGGGACTGAAGCCAGACGGTTTACAGTCTGAAATCTGATGGAGTCTGTTGTGTTTTATATGCACGATACATTATGAATGAGGCCTACCTTCTGCCAAAGGGATGAAATGAACAGGGAGGCATTGGTCGGCGCTACAAAGACTCATTGATCATTCTGGATGCTGAAGCATTATTCTGATTCTTTGATTTAATGTTTTAAGATCGAACACAATTTAATTTCCGAAACTTAAATTTCCAAACCAACTGGACCACCTCTGTGAAAAAGTGTAGCTGTGTCGTAAACCTAATTAATGCTTGTGTCACATTTGGCAGAAACGATTTGTGTAAAAACGAGAGCAAGTCTTTCATGGTTGCTGTGGAGGAATCGGAACCTGCCGCAGCTTCTGTATCGAATTTCAGTCCGGACTTGAATTGGGTCACTTCAAAACCTTCCTTTTGTTTGTTTTAAACCATTCAGAGGTTTACTTGTTGACTTCTGGTTATCTTCAGTGACGCTGTTGATTCATTCTTGGAGTAATTTTAGGGTGTAGTCCGGTAGACTCGGCTTGATTGAGAACCAAAGTGGCAACATTTGTTACATTTCCAGCTGCTGTGGTTCTCTTTCACACTGCAAACTCTTTGAAAAACCAGTGGTGGCGCTGCACCAAGAACCACTGAAGGAAACAACATGAAATCCTCTGAAGAACACTTCGAAAGCAACTTCCTTCACAAAATGTAAACAAAAATGGAGACTTTAGTGGTTGTAGGATTCTCTTTTGTCTTTTGTGCTAGACTGGCGCATTTGTTTTGGTTGTACTTCACCCAAAATGCCCTGTCCTGTGGTCCACTTCCTGCTTTTGAAGCGCTTTCTGGTCTGCTTGCCGTTCACATAAGCATTCAAACAGAATTCACTTCAACTGAACCAAGACTGAGGTTTTTATGCAGACCAGTTCACTGTTTCTGGTCTACATCAGAGTTCGGTTCTGTGTTCAAACACCCCCAGTTAAAACAGACTTTCTAGCCAAACAAACTT